GTTGGACTCATCCCACGGCAGTGCCCCAGGGAGGTGACAGCATAGGCGGCTGCAATGCCGCTTGTGCCGAGCAGGGACGCAGTGTGCTCCCGTTGAGGCTGGCCGCCAGGGGCAAGTGTCGGAGCAGCGTGACCTCCGTCACCAGGAGCATCTCAGGAGCAGACGTGGTGTCCGAGTCACCCAGGGCTCGTCAGAATCTACAGGGACTAGCAGACGACTTTCCTCCTGGCTCCAGGAAGGGCTGATTTATATCCATGGCCATGTCACCTTTGCTGGAAAACAGTCACGGAATGTAATCCTGTGCACACACCACTGGGCTCTGCTCTGTTTCTTTACGTTTGCACGTGCTCTATACACGTCGGATTCTTCGGAGGCTTTCTTTTCCCTAGTCTCTGCTGGCTTTCTATGGGAGCGGCTGGGACCCTGAGGGAAGGAAGTGAAGTCCCCTCCACCTTTACCTGAGAAACTAGAGACAGGTCTTACGCAGCTGGTGGGGATTAGGAGATACCATGAGATAAGAAGTTGAGCTACTGAGTCTGAAAGCAGTTTTGCTTTTTGGTAAAATTCTACCTTTGACTTGCTCTTCCTTCCACTTGGTGGCCAGCACATGTTCCCTGGTTAATGTGGGGGCTGTTTGGAGGCCAGACTTTAATTTTACTGAAAACAGCCTTCATGGTCATAACCCAGGAGGCCCTCTGCCTCCTCTGGGGGTGGCTGGGGTGCTGACTCCCTTCAGGTTTTCAGGGCTCCTGGGGTCTGGGAGGAAGGTGGACCCAGATCTGGGCCCAGGCCTGGCCATCATACCCAGCAGCGCCCCAAACTGCGGGGGCGGCGGGGGGCAGAGATCTCCAGGAGGCAAGGCACGTTCTGGCCCAGTGGGGCCTTCCTAGGGCAGAGACTCAGCCCTCAGACACCAGCCTTGATTCTAGAAGGTTCCCCTGGAGTCCCAGGGCCAGGCAGAAACAAGACCCCATCCTATGCTCTGATTTGACCCCGAAACTCCTTACTGTACCTGCTCAGGGGCTGCAGGGAGGGGAGCAGGGGAGGTAGAGAAAAACATCCCCACACCTGCCCCAGCCCTCCCTTGCACAAACCCATGCCCCCCCAACCCAAAGCTCCCCCTCTGCAGCCCCTCCCGGCCTCACGGTCCCCCTCCCCCAGCCCATTCCAGAGCACAGATAAAAGTGAAACCTGAGTAGGGAATGTTTGTGGTGCCACCGCCAATCAAGGGCTCTGTCGCCACGGTAACAGGGACACTTCATCAGCTCGGCAGCAGATGGTCAGTGAGCAACAGGCAGCATATGCTCCGTGAGCCCTGACACAAGCACAGATGGAGGGTGGGCAGCTCGCGGGGGACCTGACGTTCCCCGCGCCTCCCTGTGCTGCCCCGGCTGGAGGTTAGCGGCTGCTCAGCGTCCGCGATGGCCCAGGGCGCATGGCTTGGCTGGACGCATTACAAAGCCAGGCCGGGTCCTGAGGGCGTTTCCCCAGACCCCACCCCAAGAGAAACAATCTCCCAGTGGGATCAGAGTCCCAGCTCTTCAGGCGACCGGTGGTGGTGGGGCAGAGGCACAGAGGCTCGAGGTCATCTCTGGGGCTGCAGCCTCATTTGTAAACATTCTCTGAATCCCATGAGGCCCCTTGAAATGGACCCGCATCCCCCAGGCCACTCTGGGCTTAGGGAGGAGGCGGGCCCCGGGGGACCCCAGCGTCACAGCAGCTGCCTGTGCTGAGCACGGCTGCCAGGGCAGGGCTGAGTCTGCCCTCCAGGCCCGGTGGGCAGCCTCACGGAGGCCAGGCCTCCAGGTCACTTTCCCCTGGATAACCCAGCAAACAGGCAGTGCCCAGCAGTGGCCCTGGGAACCGCACTGGGTGAGCTGGGCGGGCAGCACACCTGCCCGCAGCCCCTGTCCTCCTGGCTGGACCAGCAGGGCTCATACCCATCTCCTCCGACCCCTGGGCCCTGTTCCCCCAGGCTGACCATGCTGCCAGGGCCTCAGACTCGGCCTCCAGGTTCAGAAATGAAGTCTCGGAACGCCCGCCTGCCTGTGTGGCCGTGAGCAGAGTGAGCAGCACTCACAGCAAGACTTGTCACTCGTGAGCAATGCCCCACACGCCTGGGACTTGGTCCCCATCAAACAGTACCAGGACGTCACTGCGCCCGAGTCAGCGGTGACACGGCCCTGACTCCAGCACAGGCCTTGGCATTCCTGATGTGCCCAGCACAGGGCAATTGCTCAATGCATGTGGTCTAGCGAGGGGTGAGGACGCAGGGTGTCTGGGGAAACCAAGCCTCAGGAGGAGGTAGGAGACCAAGGAGATCCTTGTGGCCTCAGGAATGCAAAACGACTTGAGCGTGGAGTTGCCACCAAAAAAAGGTTTGTGACTGAGAGGCTGACGGAGTGGCGTGGGCTCGGGCGGACTGCTCTGTGCGAGGCTCCTGGCCAGGGGCACGTGCCCTGTCCCCGGGGGAGCCCTCACCGTCCCCAGGCTGCGAGGGATGTGGACGAATGGTTTCTAAGCACTGTCCTCCCTGTGCACTTGGCTCGTGGGAGGAAAGGAGTGTTTGCGAGCATGGCTGGTCTCCATCATGTCAGATGAGCATGGCCAGCCTGCAGGGCTGCTCCTGTCCAGGTCTGCTCAGCACTTCACAAGGGCCCCAGTTCAGGAGCCGGAGCTGCAGAAGAGCTGGGTCAGCTTTCCCCACATCAGTGGACACAGCCAGCTAGTCGAGCTCAGGCCCGTGTTCAACTGGTACCAAACAAGTCTCGTGCAGTGAGGCCCAAGGGGCACCCAACTTCCAGGGGACGCAGCGGGGCGCTGGCTGGCACTCCCCAAGAGCTGCAGCTTACCAAGGGCAGTGCAGGGTCCTCCTCCAACAGAGGCCCCGCTTAGTGGTCAGCTCTGCCCAGGACACAGCGGGGATGGCCCCCGACACAGGCATACGGGACATGAAGGCCCTGCTCTTCCCACCAACAAGCTGTATGTCTGAGCTGACATTTCACCACATATGGCACACACACTCACATGGCACACACATGGCATTCACATGACATACACATGGCCTTCACATACACTTTCATGGCACAGAGATATACACACACGGCACACACACTCACACACCCTCTCACACAGCACAGGCTCTCTGCCTGCACCGTCGGGAAACAACTTGCCTTTCTTCCTGAGCTGTGGCAGGTGCTGAAAGAGCTGAGAACCACGAGCGTGTAGCTCTCGGGCCTGAGCTGAGACAAGTGAGGCTACGAGAGGCTGAGGTGGTCAGTCTGACGTAGCACCTCCTCAGACATGAGCACTGGCCACCTCGGCGCCTGCTCTTCATTGAGGGACCCCTCCCTGTCCCCCGAGCCGTTCTGGCTGCAGAGACCCAAGCAGCCCAGACAAGGCAGCAGTCCCGACCAGCCCCACAGGAGCCGCTTGGTTGGCAGGCACAGGGCACGGGCGTCACATGGAGGCTCTGTGGATTCAAGAGCAGGGTGCCCCCAGTGGGACTCACTTCCCCGTGGGGAGATGGGCAGGAGAGTCCCCAGGGGAGCTGGGTCTCTCAGCCTCCCTGTGCCTGTACCCCACCATGCTGGCTTGCCTCAGGCCACACGTGTCCCTTCTGTGGCTGCAGCCAGTCCCGTGGAACGGCCTGGATTTGACCCTAGCCTTGGCCAACCTGCTGGGAGCCCCTCGGGCTGTGACCGCAACACACCTGTGCTACGATCTGCTTTCCCTCACTCACCCAACGCCTTGAGGGAACGCAGTGCTGAGGAAGCTCCAGGCATGAGGGTCTGATGCGTTTGACATTTTTAAAGTAACATTAGAACCACAGTAGCAAATCTACAGAAATTGCCACCATTTTCCTCTCAAGTGTGTACACATCTGGGAAACCCTATACAGAAGGAACTCTGTCAACTGGAGACACCACCAGAGGCACAAAGCGGAGGAGAGGGTCCCGGCCCCAGGTGACCCTGCCAGACCTCGCTGCAATCCCTGTTCTTTTTGATCTAGAATGTGAGTGAATGGCCCAAACGAGGAACTGAAGCCGGTCCCTTTCTCACTGGTAACAGCTGACTGTTTATATTTGGCAACACACCAGACCTTCCTCACAGCACAGCAGGGACGCCAGACCGTCGGCTGCTGGTGCTGGACAAAGCAGGAAACACGTGGCTGTGTGGGTTTTGTTGCCACGAGCAAGGCCTGAGCAAAGCAGTGGCCACAAACCAGGCATCAGTGGAAACTCGAACCTCGTGACTAAATGGCATTTTTTAATTTAAAAATGTTTTTATTGACATCAGAAAGTGAGAGAGAGAAACATCAATGATGAAAGAGAATCATGGATCAGCTGCCTCCTGCACGTCCCACACTGGGGATCGAGCCTGCAACCTGGACGTGCTCTTGACCAGAATCGAACTTGGGATTCTTCAGTCCGCAGGTCGATGCTCTATCCACTGAGCCCCACCAGCCAGGGTGACCAATGGCGTTTTTGACAAAGTTGAACAAGGAATCCAGCAGAGAGGGTGTGTGCACCAATAAACCTGGACGAGGGCCCTTAGCCAGGGCCTGGGCCACCTCTGGGGACGAGCCACTGTGGAGCCGCCACTCTGACAGTGCGACGAGCCCGAGGCCGCTGGCGGGAGACACTCGTGTCCGTGGCCTGAGGCTCCACACTTGTCAGAACAGCAGCTGTAACGATTGCCTGCAACTAACCCCGTGTCATCTTACACGTATAACCACCCTCGAAGGCAGGCCGTGGGAGGTGAGGCCTCAGGGATGCCACGCACCAGCAAACCGTCCTCCCAAGTCCCTCTGACCGCTGACTGCTGTCAGGGGAAGGAGCCAAAACAGCTTTGTCCCCAGTGCCGCGTGCTGGCGATGTGAGAACCTCGGTGCCTTATTACGTCCTGATGGTCCGTGAGCAGGATGTGTCCACTTCCTGTCCCATGTCCAAGTCTGCAGGGGCTGTCTCCAGCTGAGGAGGCCTGGGGTCCGGTGGAACGTCAGTTGGACCACCTGCAACACAGGGGTTGGTGGTGTGAGCGCTCCTCAGCCAGCCCGGGACAGTGAGCCACACCTCCCCACAGCCTCCAAGGGGCAAGTCCCCAAATGGGGGGCCTGAGGGCCTTTTGCTGTTTTCATTGCCTGGCTGTTCTGGTTAGAACTTTCAGAGCCAGGGCGAACAGGACTGCTGAGAGTCGGCACCTTGTCTTCCTCCTTGGAGGTCTCCCACCTTTAAATGCTGCATCATATGACGCTAGCTGGGCCTCTGCACGGGGGCTGCTTTATTTAAATCTTCAACCCTCACCTCCCCGAACAAAAGCACAGGACCCAGACGGTTTCACTGGTGAACTACCCAACACTGGAAAGAGTGGCAGAGATCCTGTGCCTCCCCTGCTCCCCCCATGGCAGCTCCGCTTGCTGACTGCACAGACAGCTCCCTGACCAGTGAGACCTGAGCTGTTAGGAAAGAAGGGGATCATCCTGGGGGCGGACCGACGTCTAGGGGATGAGAACGTACTTCCAAGTTGTACAAATGAGCAGAATAAAGACAAAACTTGTAGAGGAAGTAGCGGTCCCAACTTAGCAGAAACTAAAGGAACAAAACCTTAGGATTTAGAGAGAAAACACCCTAAGAGGAACTAAAGGGGTTGTTTCCAAACCTGGGAAATCAGGTCCTACCAGATGCGCCTGAAAAGCAGTCAGATCTATAACATCGCACCGAGGAGCTCAGGGAGCGCGGCTCCTTCACACGTCAGAAACACACGCACTGAAACCCCTGGAGACTGCCCACGTCCAGAAATGCCAGATGGGGGTTTAGGACAAGATAGGGCCGGGGCTCCTCACACTGAGCTGGCATGGCAGCAGGGGTCCTGCTTGGAGGTGGCGGCCCGGGGGGAGTGCAGGAGCCCTCTGGGAGCTGGGGGTCAGTCAGGGAGTGGGGAGGAGGTCACCCCTACCCTCTCCCGCCCCCCACCCTGCCAGGGCTTAGGCTATGGCTGACTTTCAACTTCTAGTCGTTACCAACCAGAGGTCTCGGGCTCAGCCAGCTCCGGGGTTTCCTGGAAATGCATCACGCGGAGGACTGCTTGGGACTTGCTTTCAGTGTCTTTTAAGCTAAGAGCTCTACGGTGCTCACAGCCAAGAGCAGCAAACACCCCTCATCAGGGGACCCGATCAGGCTCCTGACACTCTGAGAGGGAACCCTTGCTGGAGGCCGGCAGTTGGCACAGGCCCGCAGCACACACTCCGAGCTGGAGCCGGCAAAGACAAGTGAAGGGAGGGCGCACAACAGACACCTGAGCCCACCGCGGAGGACTGCTTGGGACTTGCTTTCAGTGTCTTTTAAGCTAAGAGCTCTACGGTGCTCACAGCCAAGAGCAGCAAACACCCCTCATCAGGGGACCCGATCAGGCTCCTGACACTCTGAGAGGGAACCCTTGCTGGAGGCCGGCAGTTGGCACAGGCCCGCAGCACACACTCCGAGCTGGAGCCGGCAAAGACAAGTGAAGGGAGGGCGCACAACAGACACCTGAGCCCACCCCAGAGGGAACCCTCCGCCAGGGAGGAAGCGAGGACCCAAGCAGACAGTCGGGACATGCCCTGTGAGAACTGTGGTCTTAATCTGAAAGAGGACGTGGGTCCAGGGTGCTGAGACGGGAGGGAGACACCCCTCTCCACACCAGCCCCCAGGCTCCCGCGGGCCTGAGGGAGGAGCAGGAAGGATGCCCTCCCTCTTTCCCTCCCTGCGGAAAGCCAGGTCTAGACCCCAAGCCTTCTCTTTAGGCAGAACCACCACAGCTCCGACGACTGAAGGAAGGTGCCACTGGGGTTTCAAGTCCAGACTCGCCATCAGTTCTCGCCACCCTTTTTCTAGAGAAAAAAGACTTTTCGGGAAACCAAGTTAGCTCAGTGGCCTATCCACAGGACCGGACACCTGGATTCCTTTCACGCTTGGCCCTTGGCGTGCGGTCTGCTGTAGAGATGTGTCTCACGCCAACGTCTGGTGAACTGGCTCACTCGGAGGATGGAAGGACGACTTACCCAGATGAGGGACCCCTTCTCCACGGGTTCGGCTCCTGCTGTTTGCTTCCTGTACATACAGGAAACCAAACGTGAGAATGGACTTTGTCTAAAGTTCATGTGGGAGGAACCACCATCTCTAAGCAGATGCCAGGCCATGCGTGGCATCTGCGAGCTTGGATTGTTCTCCCCCGGCGGGCCCACTTGGCAATGCACTTTTGCTCACACAGACTCCGTGATGGTGATATGGAGGCAGCCTCAAGGTGGAAAGCAAGTGTCAGTGCCGCTCCCAACTCCAGGCACCCCCCTGCACCCCCCCTTCCCGACTTTGGAGCTTCCCAGGCAGACGCCCATGCGGACATCCTGCCAAGTCCAGGGAAGACAGTGGGGCAAGGTGCCCATCCGATGCGGCTGCCACCCTCCTCCCCTTCATTCCTCCCTGCACAGGGCAGCCATAGGTGACAGGTCCCACACTCAACAGATAATGCTTTTCCCACACCATCAGCTGGGCTCCTGAGGTCATGACGCCCTGGGAGGGAGGGGAGGGGGGGGCGTCTTTGTTGCTCACACCTCTCCCAAGTGTGAGGCTCCGGGCCTGCCCCGCCCTTGTTACCCCAGGGATCAGAGGCAGTTTTACAGCAGCCGCTCCCTCAGAAGCACCCAGAGTGACAACCTGAAGAAATCAGAAATTGGTAGCTGCTGACTGTGGAATTTCACACCTCAGCCCTCACACCAGTAAGGAGGTTAAAAGGTCCTGGAGTTTTCAAGCCCACATCTCCCCGCCCTCCCTGCCCTCAGAGATTCCCAGGCAGGAGGAGCCCTGGGACTTCCAAACGGTGTGCCAAAGGCAGACAAAGCCCAGCAAAACCGTGCTGGCTGAGTAAAGACGTAATTCAATCAGGTGATTAAATGGAAAAACTGGATTACCTGACCCCAAAAAACATGTTCTGAGCACAATATGAGACCGTGTGTGCACGCAAAACCCGTTTTACATAGAAACTCTGGAAGTTAAAAAGACATGGGCACTACCTCATGCAGTGAGCAACGCAACCTCCTTTGTATGTGTCACCTGAGGTTACTTGCACCCCCTGTGCTGCCGGCAGCCACAGTCTCCCCAGGCCAGCGTCCAGCCTCACCCTTGGCCAGAGAAGGACACGGGACAGTGCTGGCCCAGCTTCGCTGGAATTGGACTCCCCGTGGCCAGCAGCAGGCACCCAGGTCCTACGACAAGCACTCGGCACTCGCAGGGGTTGGCACTGAGCATAGTGGGGGATAAGCGTGGGGCTGAAGGAGTATCGCAAGGGCAGACGGCTTTCCCGGATGACGGTGCCATGGCAGGCTGGGTCCTCATGCACGGCCTCGAAAGGTGGGCAGTGATTGCTGGGGTGACCAGGCCAGTACCATGCAGGGTCTGGCTGTTGTCTATACTGATTTTTTAAAACATAGCTTCATTCTGGCTATTTCAGCACAACTGACACTAGTTTTTAACAGAAAAAACTCTGAGCCCTCGCTGGTGTGGCTCAGTGGACAGAGCATCGGCCTGCACACTGAAGCGTCTCAGGTTCGATTCCTGATCAAGTGTACATGCCTGGGTTGCAGGCTCAATCCTCAGTAGTGGGCATGCAAAAGGCAGCCGATCCATGATTCTCTCTCATCACTGATGTTTCCCTGTCACTCTCTTCTCTCTCCCTTCTTCTCTGAAAAACAAAACAAAATACATATTTAAATAAATAAACCCTCTATTGAATCTATGAAGGGAAAAGCCAGGAAACTAACAGTGAAAACACCTCGGGAAAGACCTGGAGGACATGGCACTGCGCTAGCTGCACTCGGGGCTCAGGATGCCGCCTGTGCAGTGCAGGCTGAGCCCGTGTCTCGGTAGGAACCCCTGGCTGCCTGGGGAGGGGGTGGAATGCCTCCTATTCTGAGAGGCTGCAAACGCAAGGGCCTAGAGGCACCTCCACCTGGCCTGGGCCACACTCCTCCTTTCAAGTTTCATTTCTCAATCACAGCTGACGTTCAATGGGCTGATTTCATTCCTGTTTCTTTTCCAACATGAAAGAGCAGAATCAGAGAACCAGTGTGTCCCAGGCTAGGCACCGAGGGAAGCTGGGCGAACACAATGCAAGGGGGCACGGATGCTGCACGAGTACGCATGGGAAGCCCGTGCCCAGAGGTGGTGTCCACGCAGAACACATGGCCTGTCCACTCCGGGCCCGTCCTCGCCCGCAGCCCTCACCACCAGGACTTGGCATCATCTCCCTGACTTCCTAAGACCCACAGGGGAGGGAGACAAGCCCAGGCCAGGGTCCCCGTGGCCGCCACCCCTGGCCACGTGTGGGGGGCACAGAGCGGGAGGCGGAAGCAGAGAGGAGTTCTGGAGGACACATGTGGCCCGTGGCTCCAGGTTGTCTAGGTCGGCCTGGGTCTCCCGTTACGCGCTCAGGCTCTGCTGTCCTGGGCAAGCAGGTGCACTGAGCCTCAGCCAGAGGCCCAAGGCCTGGGCTGTCCGGCTCCTTCCCTGCAAGGTGATGAGGTCCGCGGGGTGCAGGGCCCTGACCAGGTGACTGACAGGTGGAAAACAGTGACCAGGAGCAGACAGATCAGCTCGTGCAGGTGAGGACCTGCCCCTGCCTCACTGAGCAGTGAGCGGGGCTCTCGTGCCCACCTGCACGCTCCCTGGCAAGCACCCGTCTCTGACGCAGGCACTGACACTGGGCAGCACCCTCTTACCTGGGCCCTGCTCTCTCCAGTGCTGTCCTTGGTCCGAACGGCTGTTTCCGAAGCTCTTCCTATGGGCACCAGATCCCGGTCTTCCCCGCCTCCCTGTGGGGACACCACCAGCACGTGAGCAGGTACCAATGCCCGACCCCGTGACATGCCACATGCAGGCCTGGAGCAGGGGCAGGAGCGTCCACCTTCTGTCTTTACCATCAGAGGGACAGCCCATGAAAACACAGACGGGGCCTGTGCCTGTGCTGGGGGACGGAGACCTGTGGTTGGATATGTGCCCCAGGGCCTGTGCTGATGACCAGAGGATCCACGCCAGTGAGGACCCGCGTCAGTGAGGACCAGTGCAAGGCCTCAATCACCAAACCCAATGTTCCAGACGTCCTTCACACCATCCTCACCCCACACATCCTCACCGTCCACTCCCACCCCTCAGCTCCTCGAACATCTGCCCTGACCAGACTTTAACACAGGAGGTCTGACTAGGTCCGACGTACATGTGTGTTAAAAACATGTGTTTCACAAGGAATGAAGGTGCCTGCTAGCATGACCAGGCTCTGCACATGCAGAGGCTTCCCGTGTGGCTACCTCAGTAGACAGAGCCCTGCAGTCCCACCCGGAGCAACCTGCCTGTGCTGGTAGGAAAAGGTTCACCTGGGAGAAGATGGGGAGGTCAGAGCCTGCCCCCTCCCCCACCGTCTTCGCTGCCCTCATCAGATCCCACATGGCACCTGGCTGGAGCTGGACATGCCCCCGGGTGCTGTCCTGACCTCGTACACAAAGGCTCCCGGAAGGATATGTGCAAGGCTATGCCGAGCAGAACGAGGACAGCCCTCTGGGGAGGAAGCTGGTAGCCTCTTATCCACCAAGAAAGAACAAGGAGCTGCTCAGGCCACAGGCGTGGATGCTGAACAAACGAGGCCATGAAATTACTGGAATTCACGATGAACAAGAGGCCCATGCCACGGGCAGGCACTGAGCAGCCAGAGGACGCTCCGCTGCCTCCAACTGTGGTCACTGAGGGCGCATGTGCCGGAGCTGTGTCCACCACTGCTGGCGGAAGTGGAAGTGACGCGTCAGTGGCATTTATCCCAATTCCAATTACGTGTTGATCTGTAATTCTGTAAAAACTGTCGTCCTCCATTCTAAGGAAACGATCAGGTGACATTCCTACGTATGAGAACCAAAAGCAACCTCAGAGCTGAGGGGAGCTCAGTGGGTGGGAGCCAGGTGTCCTGCTGCGGATAGGTGCCCACACTGCTGGCAGTGCTGCCGGGACACCAGACGCAGAGCTGCAGAGATGAGCAAAGCGATGGAAGCATAGGCACTGCATGACGCACAACCGTCCTCAGCCGACAGCTACGTGATTCAAGTGACTGTTCTCCGTTTAACTGTCTTCTCTGCATTTGCTTTTGTGGCATGCATGCTTGGTGTGAGGAAACACAAGCCCATGAGAAGCACATGCCACTGGCAGGGCCTGTGCCTGACCCCAGAAGGGCTCCCGCCCAAAGCAGCTCTGAAGTACGAATTCACCCAGGAACCCTCTGACGTGCTCTCGCCTTAGGAACCAAAGGTAAAGCCACGTTGTCAGCTCGGCCTTCCTCCCGAGACCCTGCCTCCACCCACCTGAGTGGAGCGGCTGCCACAGCTGCCGGCTGGCGATGCGCCGGTCCTCCCGCTGGCAGGCCTTGCACACCACGGTCTTCAGCTGGTGGAAGTGGGTAAACAGCGCCCTCTGCAAACAGACCAGCGTCAGACACGCGGCTGGGGACACTGTGGGCGTCCCTCAGGCTCTGACACGGGGTCCAGACACTGGAGGAAGCAGATAGACCCTTGGTCCAGACTCGCAGCTCCGCCCCTTGTCCCTGCGGTGGTAACGAGCCCTGTGGGAGCAACCGCTGCCTCGTGATCCGGCTCCTGTCGCCTGCCCGTGACGCCCTGGCGGCTTCTAGATTCTGAACTAAAGTTCCTGCGATGCCCTACTGTGCGTGACTCGACCACGGGAGCGCCGAGTCACCTCCCTGCAGGTGCATGTGCCCTCCGCACGGGCTATGGCTGAGCCTCACTGGAGACCTTCCAGGAATCACATGCTTTGCGTTCACGATGCCAGACCACAGCCTGTGCCCCAGTCTACCCTCCAGCCTGGGCATCTTTCCCGTTAGTAAGTGGCCACGACCCCTGCCTGGAGCCCAGAGGGGCACCTCTGCAGGAAACATTTGTTCTCACTCGAAAGGGGGCAGAGGGACGTGCCTGAGAGTTAAACACGTGGCCCTGCTCTGCCACTTCGGGCCGGGAGAGGCAGCACCAGCACCTCAGGGCACTTTTAATTCTGTTTCCCAGGACGGCTTTCTCTCGCCACTGTACACAAGGGGGGACCCAGCAGGAGCTGTGGGCGCACTGGGGTGCGCTGCTGCCCCCCTAAGACATCTGGGGTCCTAGGCCAGGGACCTGTGTTATGGAAGCTGGACTCTCTGGCTCCTGAGTGACAGGCAGTGTGTCTGGCTCAGAACCTGAGCCGGGGTCTCTGTGCCCGCCATTCACAGGAGGGGCATGAGGACATAGCATTGACCTTCCTGTGCCAGGCCACGAACGTGGACTTCCACGAGCCGCTGGCACCGCCTCTGGGAAACTCACGTTCTGCTCCACGAGGGCCTCCACCGAGTATCCCTTCTGAGCCTGCAGGTACTTCTCATGGAATAGCTTCCCATCAAAGAGGTTCCATGGCATGAGGTCGCTTGTGCTCCAGGGGGAGCCGCACGCACTGTTGACCAGCAGCAGCATGGTCAGGCCTCGGACCAGGAGGGAGCCCAGCTGCACGGCTCTGGGGTCCACGTGGTCGAGCTGTGGAGACCAGACCATGAGGTGAGAGGAAGCCCTACTGGGGACAGATGCGAGCCTGGGCTCACAACACAACCGTGCCACTCGGGACCGAGGCACAGAGGCAGGGGCCTGCGGGAGCTGACACCCATGTCATCCGCCCGCTCGCTCGCTCACCTGCCCGCCCACCCACCCAGATGCCCTAAGTGGCCCTGTCCCCAGTAAAGCTGAGCCCTAGGGCAGGCTCTGGGGTGCACTCTGCGATGGGCTCCCGGTGAACGAAAAGTGACACTCGGTTGTTCTAAGCCTGAGTGTGGTCACTAAAAGGATCATTTTACTCGAATGAACCGCTGAGCTAAAGCCAGCCCAAGGATCGTTTTAAATTAATACTCATCACTGAGGACACAATGGCTTACAGGGTTGATGCATTGACAATTTTTACAAATTAAGACGACCTTTCCAACAAAAAGTACTTCTTTGTTGCTGTCAAGTCTCCCTGATGGGCAACTTCCTGTCTTCCCCGAGATGGGGCTACCCTGTCATGGTAGTGACAGCCTTCGCCTCCCAGCAGCGTAAGCGGGACTCTGGCCATGTGGCCCACAGGTCACTCCCTCCCCCAGCAGGCGTCCATGACTCTGGCCACATGCACACTCCACTGGCTCTGCTGAGGCTACACGTCCACTCAGCCGGCCCGAGGGGCTCAAGTTCAGTAGCCACCACTTGGTTACCTGTCTAGTTTAGTCACAAAGCCAGAAAAAGTCAGGAAACATGACACTTTATGCCCTTAAGTAGGTTTCACTTCATTAACTGACATAACAAATACTTGATCACCTTGGAAAATTCACCATAAGCTGGGATTACCAGGTGCTCTAAAGGCATCTGCTGTCCAGGACTGCTTTCCAAATTATCCTAAAACCATGGCCTGCTGATGTTCTCAAGGTCAGGCTCCCTCCCTGCTGTGAGAGAGATGGGCTCCGCAAGCCAGGCAGGCACCAAAGAAGAAGGAGATGTCACTGGTTTTTAAACAGGAAAGTTTGCTCTTGAGAAAGAACGAACCCAAATGATAGGCAGTGCTTGCTCTTTGAGTTCAGCGAGTCCACAGCAAGCTTTCAGCACCAACCTGGCCAGACGGCACCTGTCAGCTCTGAGACAGGTGCCTTCAGAGCCAGCACCTCCTCCCTGCTTTTAATTCTGATTCCTAGGACGGCTCTTTCGCCACTGTACGTGAGGGAATCTAACAGGAGCAGCGGGCACACTGCGCGTGGGAGAGAGGCGGGCGCCGGGCCTGACCCTTGGCTGTCCTCAGGCTCCACACCGGCCATGCCACAGCAGCAGTGATGTGTTCACCCCAGAACCACCCGCATGTCCAGGGTGTTCTCCTGAGCTTCCCGGTGTCTGCAGGCGAGGATCCTGTTTAAAATTGGTGTGGTTCTATATTTTCATTTCCCAGAACACATTTTCCCCAGTAAAGTATTGCCCAGTCACATTTGCCTTGTTTTGTTTTTCTAATTTCAATGTCAGGTTTTGGAAAGTAAGCTCTGCTTTCCTCCTCGACAAGCCGCTCAGGAAGAGAACCACACCAAACAGATGACGACATCTGAAACCAGTGAGAAGCAGGGCTGGTGGGAAGCTGGCTGAGCAGGCCCCGGCTCCAGCTGCTTCAGACAGCTCCTCATCGAAGCCAAGTGGGGACTTTCACAGGCCACAGCATTCAAGTCTGAGGCTCTAAGGTCACCTTTCTGGTCCGATGTTGCAGGTCCCACACGGAGCTCCTGCGGCAGGGTCTCTGGGTGGTAGTGGGCACAGCCGTCTAAGACAGCCCTCAGGGAGCGCCCCTCTGGCCGTCTGAGCGGATGTGTAGTGTTGAGGACGGCAGGCTCCAAGGTCAGCAGGTGTGCGTCTGGCCCTTGTGTCCTGGGGCTGGTCCTCAGCTTCCAGGTCTGACTGAGTTGTCTGCAGTGAGTTTGTCAGGACCATGTGAGGGCAGAGACTGTCCGCCTGCTTAGCTGCGACGTCTGTCCTCTTGATTCTTCCATTCTGAAAGGAGAACTTCCGTCTGGAAGGAGGGTGGCGTCAAAGCCAGTGGGGGGTGAGGGAGCAGGGTGGTCTTGCTGCTTAAAAAGGAGGACCCTGGAAGCTCTAGTTAAGTTGCTTAGATGATTTCCCCTCCTAACTCTGCAGATTCTATCCTAAATCCCATCGCCCTCTGCGTGTCTCACACGGGCGTCATGAGCCCGTATAGAACAAGGAACATGCTCCGTGCTCTGGAGCTGTCGGCTGAGCACCAGACAGCTGTAGCTGGGCAGGAGCAGCCACGTCCGGAGCATTCAGCACCCCTGCCACAAGCCCAGTGCTGTGTCAGGGAGACCAGTACCTCCTCGCCTGTGTGTCTGCCCTCTCTGCATCACCCCAGAAAGCTGGCTTCTCTTTCTTTAAATGAGAGCACCCTCCCTCACAGCTTCTCTCAGCCTGCTGTCCAGGGCATTCCTCCAAACCTTCTTCCTCCTGGGAAGCCAATCTTTCTCATGGAAAGGGAAGAGGCAAGAAGCTGGCCGGACGGAAGGCCCTGAGTCCATTCAACCCAACAGCAGGGTGGTGGGAGGCGACCCAGTGTCAATAGACAAGGAAAGGCCCACTTGGCGCCTCTTGTGCCAATGTCCCTTCATTTCATGAGAAGTTACATCCAGCCTCCACCTCAGTTCCCACCTGTGAATAGGAGAGGGCCTGAGTCCTTCTACTAATTTTGGTGTTTAACGTTGCTGGGTCCCACCACAGCCAGGTGTCCTTAGCACTGAGACCGTCCCCTGGGCCAGTACCTGTAAGTCTGCGAGTTGCCCAGCTGACTTCCCTGGGAGGCACAGAGCCTGAGCGATGAAGGCATGCAGGTCCTCCAGGGACAGTGTGTCCACCTGCGAGGGAAGGAGAGCTGGTGTTAGTTCTCTCAGACACAGTGCTCCAGGCACATGGCGCTGATCTCAAGCAGCAGACGCAGGTGGAAGTGAGCAGGGCCTCCCCCCAGGCCATGCTGGACAGAGAGCCTGAGACAGCACAGTGTCCCGTGGTGGACATGGCCACACTGGGCGGCTAGAGCTGGGTTGAGAACGCACCCTCAGCAGCCCCAGGGGAAGCTTGTACCTTTGAATCCCAATTTAAAGGAAATCAGGACCCCCAAAAGGAGTTTCCACCAACCCTTCGTGGAATGAAAGGTCTAGGAAGAGTATGAGGGAGAAACAAGGAGGCAGAAAGGCAGAGAAGAGCCAGGCAGGGAGGCAGGGAGGGGACCCAAGAGCCATGATGGACGCAGACTCCTCGGGCCTCTTCAAGGGAGGGGAGGGGCTGGAACCAGCTTAGTGACTCCCTCAGAAGGACCTGGGAGCTCCTCCAAACCGGATGTGTGCCCTGTGGGAAGTCCCAGCATGGGGAGACTGACTCTGCTAAGCTCTGAACATTCCGCCTCCCCCTAACCCCCTCACCTCCCTATTCCATTTTTACTCCAAAGTAGTTGTTGCCTTTGTGTAAAGAAGTGGTACTTGTGACCAAGAAAGAAGACCCCCCCCCCCACCTCTACAGACGCAGGTCCCAGCAGAGGAAGTCGTTTTAAATCCACAACCCACCTCTGCGTAAATATGGGCTTGCTGCCATGTGATGCCACCTCTTGCCCTGAGCCACGTTTGAAGAAGATGGTTTAAAAAGGGCCCTTGAGCTGAAACTGGTATCCACTGGTTTCAGTGGATAGAGCATCGGCCTGCGGACTGAAAGGTCCCAGGTTCAATTCTGGTCAAGGGCATGTAACTTGGTTGCGGGCACATCCTCAGTAGGGGTGTGCAAGAGGCAGCTGATCGATCTCTCATCGATGTTTCTAACTCTCTATCCCTCTCCATTCCTCTCTGTCAAAAATCAATAAAATATATTTAAAAAAAAAAAAAAAAAAAAGGGCCCTTGAGGCACTGTTCCTGCCCTGCTTTATCACCGCCCACATCCAGCAGCCAGTTACAGCAGACAAGTCTAGACTGCAGACTTTCAGTGACACCAGTGTCACAGGGAGAGCACGGCTTTGCTAGTGGTTAAGCGCCCTTTCTGGAATGCACATGCCCTCACGGAGCTCTTCCCAGACTAGTTTCTGTGCAGTTTGTACACTGAACAGAACGTACTTTTATCCCAAATCACACCCAAAAGCATCTAATTTAAGCACAGCTATATAGGCGTGTGAGAATTCTATAAGTGCACCTTCTTAGCAGACTGACCTAGAGCAATAATTACCCTGTGAGTGACAGTCAGGACCTCGCTATTCCAGGGACACCCCAGTGGGCACAGAGGCCGGGAAGCAGCAAGGTCCCTGAAATGCAACTCAGCTATTTGTGAAGTGAATTTAGATTGAAAAGAGAATCACACAACTTCCCACTCCAGACAAATAAAACTCATAGTTATGCCCAATAGACCCAAGATCAGAGCCAAAGCAGATGGCCTGGAGGAGGAGGCTGAGACAGTTTTGTGGCTTAAGACTCAGACCCTCTGCTCTTGTGGTTGGGACAACTGAGACAGAGTGAACGTAAAGCACAGTGGGGCAGGGTGGGGGGGCTGGGCATGGACGCTGCTGTGTGTATGGAAAACTGCCATACTGGCTTTTGTAACTTTCATATGTAAGCCGAGTGTAAAATGAATGAGGAAGGAGCTGTCCAGGCTGCTGAAGGGTCTGACAGGGACCCCCACCCGCCGCCCCCCCTGCAACGGGCTGAGGACTGAAGGCGATGGGGATGGCGAGCGCAGCCTTCTCACAGGCGTTCCTGCAAAGCACCCCCACTCCCCCAGCCTTCCCTCCAGCACTGTCCTGGGCTCAGGAGGAAGCTGCTATCTCCTCCTCAGCTGAGCGTGAAGGACATGATCGACTTGGAGGAGCGGCTGGCGGTGACTTAGGAAAGCTGACGTCACTCCAGCAGCGCAGACTGCTGAGGGCCAGCGGGGCGGCTCAGAGCCGGGCCCTCCTTGCACCCCGTGCCCAGGAAAGGAAGGACCACCCAGCAGTCACAACGGAGGGCCTCCCGTCCTGAAGCGCTGGAAGCAGAACCAAAGGGCAGCAGGGCTCCCGAGCCTGTTACGTGCTCCTTTAGTCGGAAGGCAGGCCCGGCAGAGCTGGCCCTCAAGGACCAGCATTGGACAGTGATGCAGCCACCGCCTGGCTGCACCAAGTGCTGCCTCTCAAGGTAGACGAAGCCCAAAAGTGAGAGCAACTGAGCAGCCACAAGGAGCTCTAGTTACCTGCACAAACAGGTAGGAGAGGAGGCAGCACAGCGCTTGGAAGGGGCTCTCCACGGCCTGCAGCTCTTCACTCGAGGAGGAGAGGTCGAAGCAGGCGAGGAGCACCTCCATGCGCCGTGCTTGGGTCCCAGGCTCGTGGTTCAGCCACAGCAGTTTCAAACTAGGCGTTCCCCCTGCACAAAAAGTCCACAGAGTCCATGACATCAGCCTCCACACTAGCGAGTTTCTCTAGGAAGACAGTGCAAGAGCAGAGGACACGAGCCTCCGCTCCTGACACCCGGGGCTCTAAAGCTTAGAGGGACCAGAGGCAAATGTCAGCAGAGGATGGGTTGAAGGCCAGTGCACACCATTTCCCAGACAACACTGCGCTTCCATGTTCTGAGGGCACGGCTCTCCTCCCTGCACGGTGCCCGCAAGATTAAGAATGCTTTCTGGAGGGTGCTCCCAGGCGCTGCCTTCAGGAGGCAGGGCTGAGACATCAGCTCCTCTTCCCTCTTTCCACTCTGCCCGGCAGCTGCCAAACTCCAGGGAGCAACAGGACCAGCTGCCGAGCCTGACACTGCCCAGCCGTCCTGCTGGCTACAGTGCCACACGAGCCTGGCTCCCAGGGGCCCCATGCTTTGGCTTCATTTTTAAAGTCACTATTAAAGTCAAAGAAAAGAAAAGCTCATTAACTTGGATCACAACAATGCAGGAGTGCGAGGAAGACACGGCAGACAGAGGTGCTGCAATGGGTAGGCAGCAAGCATTCACTTCAGCTCACTGGGGATGAATGTGCTTTTCCTTTCCTCTCATTATGTTTGCAGATGCCTCTTTTTAAAAAGGAAACTTATTCTTTCAGTTAAAATGACTTTCCATGCATTAAAATATGCTCTCAGTAGTGGGAAGAAGAGCTGATTCGTGCAGATTATGAGAAACCCAACCCTCGGTGGGTCAGGCTGGCAGGCACGAACAGAGACCCCCCCCTCCGGCCAACCAAACTGGCCACTAGTGCGTGGGCAGCTCTGGAAATGTGTCTCCAGGTGAATCCTGCACTCTACCGCTCGGGGAACAGTCGGGACCTGCTTGGCCGAGGCCGTCTGTACCTGGGAGGCTAATCTGCAGAGGCCTGACGAGGTCTGGGTGTGTCAGCGGGTTCCCAGAGTACACAAACCACTCCTGGACGGGCGGGCAGCTGGCACCGTCTGAGGAAAGACAGCGGATCAGTAGATGCATGAGGGCCAAGCGTCCCCAAACTCAGCTCTGCCAGGGACCCTTCCAAGCGGAGGTAGTGCTTCCTCCTATCTGGAGCCTGGTGTCTCCCACACTCCCCAGCATCAGACACTCCCCTCCACTGTCCTCAGGCGGAGGCAGGGAAAGAGCACCAGGCCCCTCCGCGTGTTCTTCTGTGTCACAGGCAACAGGTCAGGTGGCTGCACAGACCCTGTGTGCCCCCTGCCACAAGAGGTGAGGGCAGAGGCTGCACTCACCAGGATCGTCTGGCAGTGGGCGGACTGTCCTCACCTACCCTGAACTTCCAGATGGCACCATTTCCACTTATTTTTTAAAAATATATATTTTTATTGATTTTTTTACAGAGAGGAAGGGAGAGGGATAGAGAGCTAAAAACATCAATGAGAGAGAAACATCGATCAGCTGCCTCCTGCACACCCTCCACTGGGGACGTGCCTGCAACCAAGGTACATGCCCCTGACCGGAATTGAACACGGGACCCTTCAGTCCGCAGGCTGACACTCTGCCCCCTCAGCCACACCAGTTTCGGCCATTTCCACTTTTAACCGGGTCACCCCTCCTACAGACAGCCCCAGCTCCATGCCTTCCAAGCCCCCAAGCCAGATGCAAAGTGTTATCTGAGATCCTCCAGTAATAATAAACCTATTTTCCTGGGAAACCCTTGAGTTAGGCTATTCTCAGTGGCACCACTTCATTTCAGAAGTTTTGATCTGTCATCAGTTTGAAATTATAGCAGACATGTTTGTGAATAGTTTGGTCTGTCTAAATTAAGATGAATAATCCTGATGCCTATAAAGAAAGAGAAGAGGAACAGCCTGGCAGTCCTGGAAGAACAGGCTGCCTCTCCCTGGAACTCGCTGGCTGGACTCTGAGGTCAATGAGCGAAGGTAGACCTCTCGGAAAAGCGCTTTATCATTTCCTCTCCCTCCGCTGGGACATCACATGGAGATGGAAGGAGGCCCAATCCTGCTCCTGTCATCCTGACACACAATGCCGCTCTGTCAAATCCACGTCTGCCAAGACACGTCTCCCTGGGAGCAGCATGGGTGACTATGCACCCCCTCCAGCGCCAACTCCCCCCCCATCTGGGTCTGGGGGCACATTTGGGGCATATGGGGCAAGAGAGAGCAAGAAGCAATGTGGACTTCAACCTCTCAATTACTGGGATTGTTAAGTTTGTAACAATCTTCTAGGTTTTTTAAAAATATATTTGTCCTATGAAGTATCACCTCACACCTGTCAGAATGGTTACCATCAATAAACAAACAAATGCTGGTGAGAAAAGAAAACCCTCATGTTCTACTGGTGGGAAGGCAGACTGGTGCAGCTACTGTGGAACAGAGTTACCTCAAAATTAAAAAATGGATCTTCTGGTCCTAACTGGTATGGTTCAGTGGATAGAGCATCGGCCTGCGGACTGAAGGGTTCGATTCCAGTCAAGGGCATTGTTGTGGGCACATCCCCAGTGGGGGGTGAGCAGGAGGCAGCTGGTCAATGTTTCTCTCTCATCGATGTTTCTAACTCTCTAGCCCTCCCCCTTCCTCTCTGTAAAAAAATCAATAAAATCTTCTGTTTGGCCAAGAGATCCCACTTCTGGAACTATATCCTAAGAGACCTGAAACACCAATCAGAAAGAATGGACACACCCCTATGTTCATAGCAGCGTTATTTACAGTAGCCAAGATCTGGAAACAATCCAAGTGCCCATCAGTAGATGAGTGGATAAAAAAGCTGTGTTGTTGGCTCAGTGGATAGAGCGTCAGCCTACGGACTGAAAGCTCCCGAGTTTGATTTCGGTCAAGAGAATGTACCTTGGTTGTGGGCACATCCCCAGTAGAGGGTATGCAAGAGGCAGCTGATTGATGATTCTCTCTCATCGATGTTTCTAACTCTCTATCCTTCTCTCTTCCTCTCTATAAAAAAATCAATAAAAAATATATATTAAAAAAAAAAAGTTGTGGTACCTTTATACCAAGGAATACTATGCAGCCGTAAAAAAGAATCTCTTATCCTTTGAGATTGCATGGAGGAACCTGGAGAGTATTATGCTAAGCAAAACAAGCCAGTCAGAGAAAGACAAGTATCACATCATCTCACTTATAAGTGGATTCTAAAGAAAGAAAAAAACCCAAAACCTGACAAACAAAATAGGTCCAGAGGGATGGATACAAGGAACAGAACAACAGATCTCGGAGGGAGGGTTTGAGGGAGGGACAAGAAGAGAGTAACGGTAGAACATATAAGCCATGGACACAGACAATAGCATGGGAAAGGCCTGGGCTGGGTGGAGAGGGGCAAAAAGGGAGACACTGGGAAACATCTGTAATACTGTCAACAATAAAGTAAAATTAAAAACATATGCATATGTATGTCCTTAGAGTTCTGTAATATTTTTATGCTGCTATTTAATCTACAATTGTGTGTGCTCATGGTCTTTAAAAAAACAGAGTAACTTTCCATTCTTTTGTGTGTGTGTGTGTGTGTGTGTGTGTGCGTTTAATTGCCTTTTAGGTCAGTATCTAGGATTTCTATGAGTAAATGGCCTGCTGGACACTGACTCTGTACCACAGGGTGAGTGCCCATCATACTAGCTGCCCTGCCAGCCCACTGGGCGAAGTGAGGAGGGTGCCCAGTGACAATACAGGACAGCTAACCCCATCAGAGCACTGCCACCTAGGCTCTGCGCCAGCACCGGGAGCCACCAGGATGCGGAGGAGCAGCTTCCCCTCGCTCCTCAAGGTTAAGAGACTCCACAGTGACGTCAGCTAGATGGTCAGTGGGGAGACTGACTCAGAGACAGAGTTAGAGTCCGGAAACACTGGCAGAAGGCCAGGGAGGCCTAAGGGGCGAGTGACTGCTGGGCTCTCCCCACATTTGGCACAGCGCTGTCTAGCCATCCAAACACCATGTATTCAACTAGAACATACATGTAGGTGTGACATCAATCAGCCACACAAGCACCATCAGATCTGGAGCGTCCAGCAGGTCGTTATCCACATCGTCCCCACAACAAGGGACTCGAAGTGTCAAGGTATCGATTTGGCGCCTGTGACCCCTTGGTTCAGTGCCCTGTGCAAAGCCTGGGGTTTGTGTTCAGTCTGTTATTTACAGTAGCCAAGATCTGGAAACAACCCAAGTGCCCATCAGTAGATGAGTGGAGGTAAAGACACCTGAACTCTAAACCTCTACATTTTATTTTATTTTAACATTTTCATTGATTTCAGAGAGAAGAATGAGGAACATCAATGATGAGAAAGAACCACTCACTGGCTGCTTCCTGCACACCCCACAGTAGAAATTGAGCCTGCAACTCGGGCATGTACCCTGATAGAGAATCGAACCGTGTCTTCCTAGTTCATGGGTCAACGCTCAACTACTGAGCCACGCTGGCCAGGCATCTATTTTAACTTCATTTAATAAAATACAGTTGACCCCTGAACAATGAGTTTGAGTGGCGGAGGTCCTCTTATATGCAGATTTTAGTAAGTGGACCCAGGCTGTTCAAACCCCCATTTTTCAAGGAATCTGAGGATGCAGGCCAACTGTAGTTGTAGGTGAACCTCTGACTCAGTGTGGGGTTGACACCCCTCACTGACTCCTGCATTGTTTTAGTCAAGGGCCAACTGTACTCTAAAAATAATTTAAGGCAAATATTATTCTATAATGTAAATTCTTTCCATGATGAAAGTATCTTTTCAAGTCATCAATGTGCAATCATTCATGTTCAGAAAGAGCCATATTTAAGAAAAAAATTATTTGTCCCCAAAGCTTGTTACACAGATTCATTTGTTTTTAAATCAGCTTTCTCATCTCATCACCTCATGTCAGATAGGACGGTGCAGTCGGCCTCTCTCAGGTGAGTGAGGTGACAGATACTACCTGCATGCTCTTCTCCCCTTACTCTCGGAAACCATTCCTTAGAGAGGGCTGGGGCCTGATGGACTCCTCGGTGCTGAAGGTATCCCAGGTGACTGCCCTGGCCACTGATGTCCTCTCCCTATACTTGCTGCTACTGCACAAGGGACAGAAATATGGGGAGACACGTAAACTTATGACAAATACCCTAAAGGAAAATTTTGTTTATATTTTAAGATACGATGTACTAGATTTTATATAATATTTTATGAAAATCTCCTTTTGAGGAACAGTAAGTAGACACTGTCTCCTAATGATAGACACAGCTCCACTCTACAGAGGAAAAGGCTTTCACATTCGAAGCAGCACAGTCCTTTAGGGCAGAACAACAAGCACTTCATAGAAACAAGGCTCTTTTTAATGACTGTGGGCCAACTGCTGGCTGAGTAGCCTCAGAAGCCTGTGGCCTTCACCTCACTTTAGCGGATGTCGAGGTGTCCCACCGAGCCTTCACTGAGGAACAAACCCTGTTTAATGGCATCTGTGTCTTCAGGGCCAGTGTCAGACGCCGCCTGTGCTTGCACTGTCACAGGACTCACCTTGGCCATCCGCCAGCAGGAGGGAGTAGACACGCTGCCGCACCGGGCGGTAGACGAAAGCCTGGCTGGGCAGGGCCTGGTCCAGGACATCCTCCAAGGTGTTGCTGCACTCAATTTCCCCACTGGCCATGATGTTGTACACCAGGTAGCTCTCCGCATGGACGTGCTGGGCTCTAGCAACCTGCTCAAAGTTGAGACACAATGGAATTCTTCTTGCAAACAAAAGGACATTCAAACAGAAAAGTCAGCACTTCAGGTCACACACCAATGTTTTAAGGCACACAGCAAGGAATATCTGTCCCCCAAACGCAAACGGGCATTTGTGTTTCCTGTCTTCTGGGTGAGAGCCTTTTTGCTCCCTGTTCTCCAGCTCCAAGCACCTGCCAGACTTGCTGACTCGGTAGCATGGGCCTTTGACCACCTGAGAGCAAGGATGCTGGGAAAGGCTCTGTCCAACCTCTCTCAGCCAGTCTCACCCCTCCCCACCATCCGCAAGCAGGTCCAACCACTGCCCTCCTCCAAGCAAGTTCTTCACACTAACAGTCAAGGCCTCAATCCATTCCCCCCACAAACTGTTTTGGCCTCCGAGAGCCTGCCATCCCCAGCCCCGGTGCACACCCACAGTGCTCCCAAGAATGCTCAGTCCTCTCCCACCTGCACCTGAGCTACCAGCCCCTTTCCCTTAAGGGCTGACCTCAGTGTCGCCCCCTCCTCATGGGACTAGACTCACACTGACCCTGCAGAGGTGACCCTGTCTGATCTCCCCACTGAACTGTAAACTCCTTGGGAGGAGACGCTGGTCACATTCATTCCTTTGTTGAATAATTGATGGCAGGTGAAGAGATGAATGATTTAAATGATTCCACTTTCTTATCAAATAAGAACTAAACTCATAAGGGCTATAAACCTACATACAGATCTTATTCTCCTGTGAACAACATTCTTATTACTGCCGGAAAAAATTCATTTACATTATTACTCAAAATTTAAGGTTAGCCTTCAGCTACGGCACTTAAAATGTGGCATCAGGATAACTTGGAATATAAAAAATCCGGTGAATCAGATTGTCTAGTTGTTTATACACAATAGTAAGTAATGTTGATTCATTATTGCAGACTTGAGTCTTAATCTCTTTATTCTTCACTTTCTTCATATATAAAATACATTTAATAAAAATGGCAACCTCACAAAACTACTGAGGATTGAGAGAGGTAACACAGGAAACGCACCTGGCTGGCACATCCTGTGTGCTCAGTGTCAACTGTTATTATACTAGTGGCCTGGTGCACGAGATTCCTATCCCTCAGCCTGGCATGCACCCTCTCCAATCTGGGACCCCTCAGGGGATGTTCAACTGCCAGTTTGGGCCCAATCCCTCGGGCCTAAACTGGCAGTCGGACATCCCTTTCACAATCCGGGACCACTGGCTCCTAACTGTAAACCTGCCAGCCTGCTAGCCCCTAAACACTCTGCCTAATCACCTGATTGCCCCCAACTGCCCCCTTCTGCTGGCCTGCTCGCCCCCAACTGCCAGCCTGATTGCCCCCAACTGTCCCCTCCCCCAAGCCAACCTGCTCACCAACTGCATCCCGAGGGTCTGCTCGTCCCCAACTGCCCCTCCTGCCAGCCCAGCCTAATCACCCCCAACAACCCTCAGCTCCTGGCCTGATTGCCCCTAACCACTTCTGCCTCGGTCCCATACCATGGCTTTGTTTGGAAGGCCATACGGAAGGTCTTTTGGTCTAATTAGCATATTACCCTTTTATTAGTATAGATAAGGCTAGACAGACTACAAAGATGCCCATTTCATTGCTAAAATGTCTTTTTAAAATTTTTATCTCAAAGTATCACACATGTCCTCTTTCCCCACTTTAATTCCCTTCACCTGGTGCCCGCCCCCACTAAAATGTTTTTAAATCTCGACAGAGCACAAGCTAGTAGCTTTAAGGTAAGATTAAAAAAAAAATGTTTTTAAAAAATATATATTTTATTGATTTTTTTACAGAGAGGAGAGAGGGATAGAGAGCTAGAAACGTCGATGAGAGAGAAACATCGACCAGCTGCCTCTTGCACACCCCCTACTGGAGATGTGCCTGCAACCAATGTACATGCCCTTGACCGGAATCGAACCTGGGACCTTTCAGTCCGCAGACCAACGCTCTACCACTGAGCCAAACTGGTTTCGGCAAAAAAAAAAAAAGTTTTTAAAGAGCTATTACTTCATACTCTAGCCAATTGAAGATAATTAGAATTGACCTATTTCCCTATGTGCCCCTTCTGACATAGAATCTACCAGAAATGTTATTTATTTCATGACCCTGTTAAAGCAATAGCTCCCAATTTTCCCCCTTCTTCCTTCTTCCATCATTTATGATTCTTTTTATTTCAAACAAATTAGTATCCTGACAAATTAACCTAGGAAGTTATAGAGACTCTACCAAGAAATCCTAAATTTTGGTAACTGCACAATCTTTCCTGCTTGAAGCACATCAGCCCCATTGAGGTCTGGCTCCACTATACCTCTTCTGGGAGCTTCTCTCTATCCCTTAATCCACAGGGATCTCTTTCCTTCAGAGCCCTCTTCTGAAACAGTCATGTGACAATGTCAAATATGGTTTATAATGTGACTTTTTCAGGGTTTATGTCATACCTCCTAACTAAACTCCTGGGTCCTATTCTGCATTCCCACAGCACCTTAACTATACAGGGGGTCAATATTCCCTGACCAGTTCCTTGATAGATGTGTTTCCATCAGGCCGTCTTACATTAGAGTGGGCATGTCTACCTACCTTTAAGATTTCAGTGTCTGTAACCATGGTTACTTGTCGCTGGATTTCAGGCTCCATATTCATGGGGTCTTCCTCCTTGAATTCAGGGTCTGTACACATGGGAACTTCCGGCTTGATCTCAGAGTCTGTACACATGGGAACTTCCTGCTTGGACTCAGGATCTGTACACATGGGGTCTTCCTGCTTGGACTCAGGGTCTGTACACATGGGACTTTCTTGCTTGGATTCAGGGTCTGTACACACAGGACTTTCTTGCTTGGATCCAGAATCTGTACTCTTAGAACTTTCTTGTTTGGATTCAGGGTCTGAACTCTCAGGACTTTCTTGCTTGGATTCAGAATCTGTACTCTCAGGACTTTGTTGCTTGGATTCAGGGTCTGAACCCACGGATACTACCTGCTTGTGCAAAGTTGTTATAGCTTTGGCTTTTGGGGGAATCCATGGAGATGTCTGTCCTGGTAAAAGATATGATGCTATCCCCTTATAAAAAAGAGCTTTGTTTGGTCCCAAAGGTAACATCTCTTCCAGCTTTTTCTCACCCTGATACACCCGAAGAACTTTAGCTATGTGGTCTGCTACAGCTAAGATGATGCTGCCTCTCCTGTCACAGTTCTCTTTCACGGAGGTATAGAAGGACAAGCACTTGTACCGAAAGTTTTCAAACATGCCTTCTGGGACAACATCGTTGCCCAGCAGGCAGGCCAGAAGCGGAAGGTCTGCCAGGCAGAGGCCAAGACTTGCACAGAGCTTCTCCCTGCAGAACATGACGGTGTTGAGGCTGTCCAGGCAGAGCTCACTGATTGAAAAATAGGGACAGGAATCATAAATTAAGTAGTCGGTGTCTTCTCCGAGGATCCCTAGACAGTTATTCTGGAGGCCGTAAGAAGCCACCTCATAGTCAGCCTCCTGTAAGGAGCACAGTGTTTCCTGGCCCAGCGTCTTCAGAGCAAACCGTGTGAAGATGGCCAGCCCCGAGGGGATGAAGAACATGCTCCTGCTGGGCTGCTCCCTGTGCTTCTTTATATACTGGAAAATCCTGGCAATCTCCCTGTTGTTCTTGAGTCTCCGTTTCACCCAAACATCTCTCTTCTCCTTCTCCACCATACCATCGAAGAAGAATACCAACTTGATGCCAACATCCGTAAAAATTCTCACAAAATCTCGCAAGACAGAAAAGTATTCCTTCCACTGGCCACCGCAAACCCATGATTCAGGGATATACCAGTACCGGAGACAGCACATGGCATCCACCACGACAGTGGGAGTGCATCCGGGATGCTTGTTTTGGTGCTGCTCGGCCAGCTCTTTGAAATTCACTACTGTACATACACGTGGGCAGCTGCTTGCCACAAACCCCTGCAAGCCTCTCACACCCATGGCTGATCTCCCAGAAGGATCTGGAAAGGAAAGTAAACCAGTTATTATGGCACCTTACAAAGTCCACAGACAATGGTGAATAGCCATTCTCTATCAGGAGCCTAAAGTTTTCCACAAAATATGAGAGGAACTTCAGCTAAGGGTACATTACTTGAGTTGGACTTTTCAAAGACAACACAGTGTAGCTTCTTTTTAAGATTTCAGCTAGGACTATTATTCAAGAGATTTCTCAATTGGATTCAAAACAGGCTAACAGTTTTCAAAAAAGTAATATTTTCCATCTAGGAACCCAAATAGAAGTTAACTCTGAAAACCTAAAAACAAAAAGGGATATTTCTCAAAATAATTTTGCTGAAAGAAGCCAGATAAAAAAATAATAATAAAAAAGTTCAGACTATGATTCCATTTGAATATAATTTTTGGTTCATTGAGAGCTGAGCTCATTTGTAGTGGCAGAGAGCATCTCGGTGGGGGCAGGTGAGAGGGCAGATTTACGAAAGGGACTTTTGGGGTGATGGTTCCATTCATTACCTTGACGGTGGTGATGATATCATGGGTGAGCACATGTTACCTATAAACTCTAAGCCTGTGCAGTTTCCTGTATGTCAACTACACCTTGATATAGGGGTTGAAAAGACATAGCTGACCCTGAACAACGCTGGTGTCAAGGGCACTGCCCACCTGCAGTCAGAAATCCACATATATGTTAAGTCAGCCTTCTCCAACCTCAGTTAAAAAAAAATTCAGTAAATAAAAGTTCACTATGGCCCAGCCAGTGTGGCTCAGTGGTTGAACATTGGCCCATGAACCAGGAGGTCACAGTTCAATTCCTAGTCAAGGCACATGCCTGGGTTGCAGGCTCAGTCCCCTGTAGGGGCCGTGCAGGAGGCGGCCCATCTATGTTTCTCTCTCATCAATGTTTCTACCCCTCTCCCTTCCTCTCTCTAAAATCAATTAAAAAATATTTTTAATAAAAAGTTTACTAAGGCAAAAGTGTATAACATCTGAGATGGTGAATAACTCTGAATGGGAAATTGCCCTTTCTAAAATGTGAAAACATATAATGTAGTTAGTTCAGAGAGTTAGAATTCAAAATCTAAGAAAACCACACCAGGCAGAGCATTGTGTCCTAAGTTCCTCTTCTATAATAAAAGACGGAATATAAGGCAAGCCTTGAGGAGGTCAGACAAACACCATGACATCTTTATCTTAAGGCCTGTTCTTTTCACTTTCGTTTTCTTTACTTCCTCAGGGCATAGTGTCCTTTGATAAAACAAAAATCCTTGTTATGCAAAAGCAACACAAGGACAAGGCGGACTCTCCAAGCCTCAGGCCTGAGCACAGTGGCCACCAGCGGCTGCAACCCCTCCACCAGCGATGACTCCTCCCCAGGAGCCCATTCCCAACACACACCAGCGCATGGCACACAACCTCCATCTCCACCACAACCTGACAGGTACAAGTCCGAGTCCACATCACAGGTAAAGAAGCTATGAGTAGATTATCAGAGAAAAAGCACGGCACTGGTGATCATTTAACTGCCTGTGGATGGGCAGTGGCCCCATTAGAATCTGAAGTTACCTGTTTAATAGCCATTAAGTGAAAAATACATAACAACTGAATGGATAAAACACACAATGATGTTGAAATGTAGAGAAGTCTTGCTCACTGAGTTATTAAATATAATGGAACACATGCATCCACACACCAAGGCCACTGTAGAGCTCTTACTAGACTAACAGGCGTTTATCTTGAGATTATTATCTCAACGAGAGGGTGGCTGTAGTTTGGACCTCCAGGCACGGATCCCATACAGAGGAAGAATACACCCTATTTCTGAAGCAGAGGGGTTTTTCTTATGACACCCCAGTGGCAGCGAGGTACAAGTCTGCAAAGGGTGTTAGAGGCCTTGCCTAATGCCAGGCTATTATTCTAGGTCTAGCTTTGAAAAGAGCAGGCTGGTCAGGTTTGTTGACAATGAGGAAGCAAAAGTAAATTACAAACAGTGTGACTAGGTTTCCATACTTTCACCAGGCTCCAGGCTAGATGCTGCACCCCCACCCCCGCCCCTAGCTCCCACAGGCGGGGACCCCATCTGTGCAGCCGCCCACCATGCTTGGGCTGGCTGCCTTCCCTCACCAACAAAAAGGATTTTTGTTTCAAGCATTTTTCTACTAAAACTGCAAGTGACAACATTGAGTTTCCAAAACACTCTCCTCTTTATTTTACAGAGTCAGGCTCAGCTCTGCTTTGATTTTATTCTGATGTTTTTCCTCCTTTCTCACCCCAGCAATGAAAAGCTCACTATTTTAATTAAACACGCACTTTTCCCCCTGTTTTTCACACTGCCAATCTCTCTCATTTTGAATCACAAACTACCTCAGGAACATTACCTTACAATGTGCTCTTGTGTGGCATTTGCAAAGAAAAATTCAGATACACAAAGATCTGGGAACCTGTGACAGCAGAAGGGCCTTCCATTTTCAACTCAGTGTGTTACACACACACCACCACCTGTCCCCGCAGGCCGAGTGGGGGAAATGAAATGCTTCCAGAGATGATTCTGTGGCCCTGGCCACCAGCTCAGTATGTCACACACACACACCATCACTGGTCCCCGCAGGCCGAGTCGGGGAAATGAAATACTTCCAGATGATTCTGTGGCCCTGGCTGCCAGTGCCTGGAGTAGTTGGAGCATAGTCCCACACATCAAAAGGCTGCAGGTTTGATTCCCGGACAGGGCACACACCCAGGTAGTGGTTCAATCCCTGGTTGGGGCGCATAGGAGGTAACCAAAGGATATTTCTTTCTCCCTTCTTCTCTTTTAAAAATCAATTAAAAAAACATATCATCTGATGAGAATTTAAAAAAAAATTTTTAAAGATAATTTTGCCCGGTTAGATAGTGTGTTGCCCTGTGGACTGAAGGATTCTGGGTTCTATTCCAATCAAGGGCATGTACCTTGGTTGTGGGTACGTCCCCAGCGGGGGGTGTGCAGGAGGCAGCTGATCGATGTTTCTCTCTCATCAATGTTTCTCTCTCATCGATGTTTCTAACACTTTATCTCTCTACCTTCCTCTCTGCAAAAATCAATAAAATATATTTTTTAAATATTTAAAATAAATAAATTAAAAAATAAAAAGATAATTTTGTGGCCATTATGTTTTTAAACATTTTTTTGTTGTTGTTTTTAAGCCTTTTATTGGTAAGAGTAATACTGAGGTTTTTTTTCACTCTACCACTAAAGATTATTTAAATATATGTGTATATATAATTTATCTGCCTGTAAACTATAAGGAAATTTTCGTTGTCGAGAAAGAAAAGTTCTGTCTCCTGTGGCAGGAGTCTCACTGCCCCAAACACAGCCTGGGAAACAGTTCTCTCAATGTGGGCTTCGGGCAGATGTCCCTGTCACACTGACATCAGCTCTGCCTGCCGTTTGTGAATGAATAAATGATTTATTCAAAGAGAGTCCGGGAATCACCACGTGTACAGACTCCAAGTGTGGGCACAGGGAAAATAACACGTAGGCCTGTGTCCTCAGGTAGCACCAGTGCCAGACATTTCACGGAAGAGCAGCCGGCAGGCACACAGGGAGCCAGCCTAGAGGCAGCCTCACCGCCAGGAATGGCCTCCTTGTCCTGGCAGCCAGACCAATCCCAGGTGCTGGGTGCAGTAAATAAGTGGACAGAAGACAAATCAAGAAGCTCCTTTAGTCATAACCCTTCAATGGACAGAGAAATGGAATGACATGCCTCAGCAAAAACATATCCGCCCGATCTGTGCCAACAGGTCCGGAGCCAATCCAGACAGAGGGACAAATGGACTCACAAGCCAGCCACTGAACACATCCATGTGCAGAACAGCCTCTGCAGGACATCCAGTCCCCGTGGCTGCACTCCTTATGGCATGGCGAGTGCTCCCCCCTCCCACCCCTGTGCCAGAGCCCCACTGTGCAGGAGGCAGTGGAAGAGCTGGAGTTGATTAAATCAAGTCTTTCAATTTGGAGACAAAGCGGGCTCCTGTCCTACAGAGCAACAGAACCATAACCTTGGATTTATCTTTATCAAATAATTTGTCTCCACAAGCCAAAAATCTACAAGCAGCAACACCAGTGCCTGGTCTCTGAGCAGGAGTGAAGAGGAAAGCCAGAGGCACACTTGGGAGGCGAACAGTGTCGGGTGGATGTTAATCAGTGGGCCGGGATGTTAATCATGGGCCAGGATGACGAGGATGACAGTCTTTCTCGTTCCATGCTTCGTTCCTGAGCCTTCAATGACCACATGCTGGCTGAGCCTTGGTCCACTTAGGGAGGCCCCTCATGGCTGACGTGGGGTATCTAAAGTCTGTTTTCTTCTCTCCTTTCCACCTCCTCTCCCCTGCACACCCCCCACCCCCAAATAAAAGCAAGTTATGGGGACTCCGTACAAGAAGGGTATGAACAGGGATTGAGGGTTCCAAGAGGTTTGTCCCAGGACAGCTTGTGGGACAGCGTTGGCTCCGCGTCTCCTGAGTATTTAAGGATCCACAGAATACCAGGCGAGCAAGTAAGCGAAGGGCAGCTGCCACTCAGGTGATCTCCACCTGTCTGAGGGCTGCCCACAGGCTCCCTGGGCACTGACCAACACTCTCCTGGACCAACGTCAAGCAGGCTCCCAGAGCCCTCTTCTCCACAAGGCACAACCTTAGATTTCCTGCTAGCCCTGCCCAGTCCAGTTTTAGCAAGAATCCTGCTGAGTCAGTTTAGGCAGAGAATCCCCTGCCTGATTCCTGCTGGTCCTTCACTCTGCTGGCTTGCAGATGCCTCTGCCCTCTTTGAAGTTGAGCCCCACCTCTACGTCCGATGGCAGGTCTGGAATAGTCTTCCTTACTTTTCCAAGTGTCAGAATAAGCAGCTTATTCACACAATGGGAAGCCTGGCGTTATCATGATGTACTCTATTATGCCCCGGTATGTCCAGACTCAGGATGCCCCGTTAGACCCCCCAAAAGCTGCCATGA